TATATATATATATATATATGTCTTCAGTGATATATTTAGACTGAAACATGAATTTCATTGATAAACCAATGAAAAAGTGGCCACAAATAGCAACAGATGACGTAGGTGTGACGCACGCACGGTTGCAACGTCAAACGTCGTGTCCACTGCCTCGTGCCATGCGCACTGGCGCTTGTTGTTGTTATTGAGCTAGTCGTTATGGCTGAACGAGGCCTCGGATCTAACTGAAAGAAGACCCCCCCCCCTTCCCTTCCCTTCCCTTCACGGGACAACCCGCCATCCATGGAGGGCACAGACATGGACGTGGACGCGGAGCTGATGCAGAAGTTTAGCTGCATGGGCACCACGGACAAGGACGTCCTTATAACGGAGTTCCAGAGGCTGCTGGGCTTCCAGTTGAACCCGGCCGGCTGCGCCTTCTTCCTGGACATGACCAACTGGTGAGTGCGGGGATTGGAAGGCCTGCTGTGGAATGAAGCTAACGTAGCTCTTCGTCTAGCTTGAAATTCTGCGCTAGAATTAGGTAAAAATACGTCGATAGCCTTAAGATAGGACAGAGTAGTGATGGTCAGTGCGGCACGGGTCATTTTATCCTTCCGTTACGGGAAATGGTTGTTAACTCTTAGTGGGCCATAAGAGGTAAACGGAAGTCAGGCAGTAAACTTTGTTGTGGCCACGAGTTCTAATGCAGTATGTGATTTAAAAAAACCAATAACGGTCTGGTTCTCAAACTAACAAGCTAAACTAATCTAACAGAACTCCTAGTTTAGATTGTGATTAGATGTTGTCTGGCGCGGATAACTAATTAAAGAGCTCATTGTGAAGCCTGAACTCACTTCAGAATCAGTTGTGACCTATCAGTTGTCAACAGTGATCAAAACACCTTTGTGTTTTTGATCAAATTAACTGAATAATTGAAATGATCATTTTAAAGGTGAGTTGTTTCAAACTGTCTTTACTGAAAAAAAATGTAGGCACATCTAGTGTAGAAAACTTAAAAGTTTATTTATTAATCATTGGAAACGTATAGTATTTTTTTTATTTTGGCCATTCTACAGTTTTTCTTTGCGTCTGTTTCTTTCCAATTTACAACTATTTTATATCTGTACTATCCAATTTTCTTTTAGAAACGCACCGATTAGTCAGCCTGTTTTTTCCTCTGTACATAGCAGCTCTGATTTATTTTTAACAGACCCAATGCTTAAAAATCTGATTATGTTTGACGCTTTTTTTTTTTGACTGTATCAGAATTAACTCCCACCATTTGTCTCTCTGTAAACACAACCATCAACATTTCCCAAATATACTTTTTTATTTTATTTTAGCAAAACAGATATCTAATTAATATCTCAAAAGATTGCACTGCACATGTTTTGTCATTTTGAATAGAAACAAAATTAGGATCAGTAAGTTTTACCTCAAAGATGAGGTGAGCCTGATTGTCCATCTCTCTATTTCATGCTTGTAATAAAGTGTAATCCTGGATAAATACTTTAAACACTGTAAACTAACAAAGTATTTTGCTGATTTAGAGAGTTAAAGGGTTTTAAATAGTAATACAAACTCACAAGTCCTGAGTCAGAATTTTATTGAATTCTACATTATTTTAAAACTATGAATTGTAGGATATTAACCTTTTATTTTAGTTAATTTTCCGAACCATCATAAAGGCAAACTCTTTCCAAACCCTAACTCATTTTAATGCATGTTGAAAATATTGCATGTATAAAGATGAGCCCCAATAACTGTATTTTTGTTTTGTTTTTATCATTATGCTGCAACAGGAACCTTCAGGCTGCTATTGGTGCATACTATGACTTTGAAAGTCCCAGTGTCAACTCACCATCCATGTCCTTTGTTGAAGACGTGACTATTGGAGAAGGAGAGTCTGTTCCTCCGGATACACTGTTCACAAAGACTTGGAGAATACAAAACACAGGTACTTCATTAGTTATCAACTCTTCCAAAAAGCATTTCTAAATATTATATAATGCTTATTGTCACTACATGTTTTTCTTATTTTTGTTGTTTTCTTTTATATTTTTCTGACTTGTAGGTGTGGAGTCATGGCCGCAAGGCGTTTGTCTCAAATACATTGGAGGGGATCAGTTTGGACACGTAAACTCAGTAATGGTGAAGTCTCTAGACCCACAGGAAATTTCAGATGTCAGTGTACAGATGAGAAGTCCTACAAATCCAGGCATGTACCAGGGCCAGTGGAGGATGTGTACAGCTACTGGATTATTCTACGGAGGTAGATAAAAAGAAAAAAATAAGAAAAAATTAAAAAACAACACCTTAACTTTACTGAAAAGTCTGAATTTTTGTGGGGCTATTTTTGATTTTATCTCATGGCCCAAGTATTTTTGTTTTGGAACTATTTTAATAATATATTTAATATTTCTGCAGATGTGATCTGGGTGATTCTGAGTGTGGAAGTTGGAGGTCTCCTCGGCGTTACTCAGCAGCTTTCCTCCTTTGAGACGGAATTCAACACGCAACCCCAGCGCAATGTGCAGGAAGATTTCAACCCGTTTGCCTCGCCACAGAAGAACAAGCATGATGCCACTGATGGCACCTTGAGAGAACCTGGAGGAGCCTGGGATCGCACACAGGAGCCCATCCAGCAGGATCAGAATGGACTGTCTCATAATGCTGTTAATAGGGCGTCAAATGGTCTCCAAACAAATCTTTCCGTGGTGACTTATGGCCAGGTATGTATTTGCTAATATTGTTTTTTTTTTTCTCAAATGTAGAGATTCTGAACTGCAACTTGATTATTTGGCTTAAAGCTATCTTATTCTAAAGTTGTTTGAGGAAGGAGGATGTCCCACTATGATATTAGCCAAAAAAAACAAGTATTTTTAAAAACCCATATTTCATTGGCCATCATCTAAAATCTCAGATAATTTCATGCTGATACAAACTGCTTCTGTAAAATGTTTTGTAACTCAAACGTTTAAACAAATTAAACTGGGGAGGAACAAGATAATGTAAGCTTAGCATAAAAAACTATGGGTTATAGAATTATACCTTATACACCAGGAAGCCACCTTCCTGAGGTGGAAGCACCTGCCTTAACCAGGCTGTGCCAGCAATCTAAACAGATGCCCACTTTCTCCCATCAGAGAGGCAGGGTGCTTTGATACCTGCTTAGAGAAAAGATGAATTGACTGTTTTATCAGCTAATCTGCACACAGGACAGCAACCCACAAGCATGTGGGATTTATTATATTATTTAACTGGCCAATAGCGTTAAGGAAAATAATACATCTGTGCACTGGCTATAAAAAGGTGGGTGGTGAGATTAAGGAACCACTGTATTAAGTCATAGACTCAACAGACCAAGTTGGGAAAAAAAGAGCACAAGCTCACTGAGTCATAGGCCAGACATATTCAGTCATTTATTCTTTGTTAAACCCTTGGCTTTACTGTCAGTCTGTTTATCTGTTTAGTCGGATAGTAAAACAGTTATTAAGGATTAATTTCTAATAGTGTAATACTGTGCAGCTGCTAATACAGCGTTTAATAATGGGGATTTCCAGCACATTGTCTTTGCTAAACAGTGGTACATGTCTTAGTCTGGTCAGGGCTTTTATATTTATTGTTTTAAGGATGCTAATGGTTGTTTTTAACTGTTTTTGTTTTCTATATGTGTATTGTTAACTGGATAGTTTTTTTTTGGAAAATTTAAAACTTCTTATCTGTGTTCTGTTTATTAACCCATTAACTAGTCACACCAAAAACTCATGAAAAAGTATAGATTAAATCAGCTGTTGTTCCGTAACCATGTGGAAAGGCCTGGCCTGCCATATAAAACCAACGTAACAGCAAACAGTAGCTTTATTGCAGAAGTATGAGGCTGCAAACTTGGAAGCACCATGAAAAATTAAGGAAAGAAAGATCGTCTCTTGTTACATATTAGATATATACTTATTCAGGTCAGATAAATCATTGCAGAATCCTTTCTAAGGATTGTATGATATATATGGTTGCATAAACAATGACTAATATTACCATCTGCTCTGAATTTAGTTTTAGTTTCCCGTTCCAGTTAAGAACTGTTGTTTGATGTTTAAGCATCTCCTCGACAATCTGTGTTGAAAGTTTATATTAGCAAGTTATTCTCTGCTACTTTTAATTAAAAACACGCCAGTCATCTATTCAATTAGCTTTGCTTGTGAAGCCTGACTGTAACAAAGTTAGATGAACTCAGTTACCCCCTAAATGTTTAATTATCCAGTATGTCTGTTATCTGAAAGCTAATTTAGACCACATGTGTATGAAAACTCAAGTGAAGGAAGAAAATTCTTGGACTATTTAGTCAGAGCAGCCGTCTTCTATCATGCATTTACGCTGAAGTTCTTGGACTAAGAGTTTTTACATGAATTTTACTTGGATCTTCTGGGATCCTCTCATTTCTAAAAAAAAAAAAAAAAAAAAATGATAAAAGCAAATTAAATATCTCAGTTCTTGAGTAATGAATCAGTTTGTGTTTCCCATTAATTATATGTCAATTTCTTCAAGGCAGTAACGTGCAACACATACATAAATGTATGTGTTGGAAATCCTAAACCAGAGAGCTTACAGTCATTTTCAAAGCTCCATTAGGGAGTTTTGAGAAACCTGCATTTAGCCTGACAATTTGAATAAGCACTCTTTAGAGGTCCATCCATCTCAGCTACTGTCTTTTGCTCTACAGCTTCTTCACCACAGTGCAATGTTGCCAACTTAACGACACGATCACATTGTTCATAGACTTTTTTTTAGAAACCGATAGCGGTTAGTGATGAATCTAGCAACTAATTTCTGTGCTGTTGAGAAAAGCAAAGATCCCTCTGAGTTTACTGTCTCAGCCCCTCCCTCTTCCAAAGCCCCGACAGGTAGTCAGACTCGACAGCCAAACCTTGTCTGCAATCAGAGAGATCGACTCTTCTGTGTCCCCAGTGAAAATGAGTGTTACATGCAAAAAGCTTCCACTGATCCTTCCTGGATTAAAAGGCAGGGTGTAAATTTATCAATATGTTTTTTTTTTTTTTAATACTCGGAAAAAATGCTGGTGAAGATTCTCAGTCATCCAGGTCATGGCATCCAAAAAAAAAGTTTAAAAAAACAAACCCGCAGACTTTGTTTTCCAAGTTTGATGACGTTTCACTTCCCATCCAGAAAGCTTTTTCAATTCAAAATGTCTGGAGTAGCGTTGTGTTTCAGGCTTATAGATACTGCTCTATAAAGCCTAGATCTCAACTTTACTCCAGACAGTTGAGTTGAGGAAGCTTTCTGCATGGGAAGCGAAATGTCATCAGACTTGGAAAACAAAGTCTGCGGGTTTGTTTTTTTTACTTTTTTGGTATACCTGAAAAGTATTCTTTTGAATACTTGAATTGAACTTGACAAAAAAAACAACAGCTTTGTAATAAAAATTAAATAAGAGTCTTACAGTTTCAAAGAAGGAAGAAAAAAAGACAGCAAGGTTCTGCTGCCAGTAAAAAAAAAAGTTGTAAAATATGCATTTAAACTTAAGCTAAAAAGGAACCAGTGGTTGATCAGTGTTGTTGGCAGGTGGGGTGCTTCATTAGATTAAAGCTGCTCTTTACCAAAGTGGTCAAAGTCTTTTGTTTCTGAACAAAAAGAGAAAGTCAGGCACTCATTTAGTAGTTGACTTCAGGGAGAGCTTCCAGTTAAGGAATGGTGCCATCAAATCTTCTGGGATCTCCACCATCCTCTCTGCTCTCATTTTGTGTGAGTAATGGATGCCTATCGAACACAAACGCTCATTACGCTCCTCAGTCAATCGCTGTCACCTATGCCTCCATCTCAGCCGTCCCTGCAGTAAAAACAGAAAGCAGCCCTCTGAAGAAAAGAGGGTTAAGCTTTTTTCAAATTCCATTTGAAGCGACATGTTGTTTCTCGCTCTTGCAGTTTGTATTTAAAAGGTTTAGGGTTACCACATATGTTTTTTTTATGTTAAAATTAAAACACAAAGTGACATGCTTCCTTCCTCTTTTTCTCCAGGGTATTCATGGTCCCTATCCGTTTGGAAAGAGCTAGAAAGACAAAGACCCCCCCACCCCCACTGTGAATGATGAGCTTACCACCGTGGGATTCCTTAAAATGCACAGGAGTCGGAGGGGGGGATGAACTGTTATTTTCTCTCTTTTTTTATGGACTCATGACAACTCTCCCTGAAACCTTTATGGACCTTTAACAGACGGTCACACAACAGCAACCTGACGGATCACATGTACTACAGTAAAACATCCAACCTCACATGGATTCACGTGTGAATGCTTCATTTAGGAGTGCTTTAAACCTCTTAAGATGAATACACAGAATAATTTTTATTTGATCTTGTAAGACATTTCTAATTAAGGAGAAAATCCCCCTAAAAGAACCGACATCTGTTACTCCCATTGGCAGCCGAATGGTTTCTCTCTTTATCAAATGGTTTCATACCATTTTAAAAAAAATTATTGGCATTGCTCAAAAAGTGGCAAGGATCATAGATCATTTTAAGTGTTTTCATATGAGTGGAAACAATAAAGTATCTTAAATTCAGAACACCACTCTATTTTTTTAGTAATGCATCTGGTCATAAAAATATTTGCTTGTCTAACTACAAGTAGGTTTTTGGTAATAATGCAAAGATTTTTTTGAAGTTCTTAATTATCTCTCTCCATGTTTTCCAAAAGCAAGAGTATTCTAATTTTTTTCATGTAGAAAGTTGGATATATTCCAGGAGAAAAATGGAGATTAGTCCTTGTGAAGCTTAAAATTGACTACATCCAGTTACTGATGTTCATTATTTTAAGTCTGAGTTCTAAGTACTGGGATCAAACAAAATGCTTTTTTCTTTTTCTCTGTATGCACGTGAGGATTATTAATGTTGGAATGCCCTGGAGCAGTTTTAAATTTCTAATTTTTTCCCCCCATTTAATCAGTTTAGCTTTAAATTTGTTTCATCCCAGGTTAGAACATGTTTGACCCATATAAGCATTTATGCAGTTAATAATAGCTGATTTTTTTGGTATTAGAAGATCTGTGCCCACCACTAACAGCGGGTTGAGTTGAAAATGTGCTGAACAACTATCTCATTTTTATATCCTAACATGATTTTAAAACTTTGACTTGGTTGGGTAGACAGAAAAAAAAAAATTAGGAAGCCCTTTGATCATTTTTGAAGGAAAACACTTTTAACATAATTACGTTCTTTATCCTTTTTTTCTAGTTGAATATTAGTTTTTGTTTTTTTTTCTTTCTAGGGAGATCAGAAAATAACTTCCAAAGCTACAACACTAAATGTTGACACACTAAGCTCTCTATCTAAAATTGTTATTATGCAGTGTAAAAGCTGGCCTTAAATATCAGTTACTTTGTCTGATTGATCCCTTTTTCTCAAGATAAAATCAAGAGAACCAAAACACTAACCTGTAATGTCATCAGGTATTACAATGTGAATCTGGCCAGTTCAATTTGCATGGGACAGCGTGCGGTTTCTAGGGTGGGTTTTCCCCTTAAACAGATGCTGAAGTGCAAAAAGGATGTGAGTGAGTTTGAGTAAGAAGGATTTAAAAAGCCATTTAAATCTATTTTGCCTGGTGAGTGACTGTAGTTGGAGTCCATGTGTAAAGGATGTGTATTAAATATAAAATGTATGCGCGAGTGTGCCTGTTGTGTACGTATCTCAATGGTTTCTCCTTGGATTTAACTGACGTAACATAGTGTATACTACTTGGGTAATGGATGAATGGACGCATCAACATCATTTTAGAGAAAGCTTTAAACGTCACGTACCTCAGAAGTATTTTTTTTGAGTGATCTATTTGGATAAGCTTGCCACAAGTACCCTGATTTTATTTATTAAATGTCTTTTTTTTGGTGTGCTGCAGATTCTATATGTCTCACTGACAGCCAGGAGGTGGTGCTAAAAATCAGAAGACAAACTTAAAGATCATTTTGAGAACCTCATAGGTAACAAGTTGCAGCTTGAGCTTGATAAAACATGTTTAATATTAGTCACAATGATTTGCATCAGCATTGTTAGTGCTGGTGTTTTGTTTTTCTAATATTTGCACTATGCTGTCAACTAACTCTGCAGAAGGGGAAAACATTTTTTTATTCTTTTTATGTTGGGATTGTGACACCAGCATTTTCAGAAAAAAAAATCCTGTCGGTTTTGTTTTTTCGTCTTGTACAGTTTTCCCTTTAGGACATAAATGTTAAAGATGGCAGTTTGATTGATGCACAGAAATATCAGATGTTAAATATATATATAAAAAAATGCCTTTTCTTTAGATCACAAGAATGAGTTTGTTTGCTGTTACACCTGAAGCTGTATTCCAGCTTTAAAATCTTTATTATGTCAGTCTGTGATTTTCATGTATGTTTGACTGAAAAATAAATGGAAAAAGGTTATTAACAATGATCTACAATAGTTAAATTTGTGCTATATTTTCTGTCTCCAAACTGCTTGTGCAAACCTGTTTCTATAATGGATACATTTGTTTTCTCATGCGGTTTTTGATGCGTGTTTTAATGTGTAAACTGAAGCAGCCTTTTGCAGTTCTGTTGAAATCATTATGAGAGTCCTCCTCCCAAACAGTATACACTGTTCTTTAGTCACAACAGTTTTTAGTTTGTTTTTTTTCCTATGTGTGCGCTTCAATGTGTGGGATCATCTGCGATGCGGGCGATTGTTGGGGAAGCCGAGATATTGCTGGATTCATTCTTTAGTTTCATTTTGTGACTATGTATGGAGTTGAAATGGGTGGCATGGTGAGTGAATGTGAGGAGAGTTTACATAGCTCTGAAATGGCACATTTATGTGGAGATGAAATTGTTAGGTTTTTTTTCTGTATCTATAATTACACATTTTTATGATTAAATTAACACTGAAACAATGACTAAGTTGTATTTTGTTTATAATATAGAATACATTTACAGATGGTTTCAAACTGTTTTAGAATAAACCAATTTAATGGTTCTCTGCATTGGAAATTCAAAAGCTGGACAAAAAGTATAGTTATATCAAATAATATTAGAATAAAGTACAAAAACAAGTACTGATTAGTGGTAACCACCATAAAAGAAGACAATCCATCCTTTTTCTATGATTAAGCACATCCATCCATCCATTATCTGACACGCTTGTCCCAGTTGGGGTTGCGAGGGGTGCTGGTGCCTATCTCCAGCTGTCAGTGGGCGAGAGGCGGGGTACACCCTGGATAGGTCACCAGTCCAGAGATTAAGCAAAGTTTTTTCTTAATCTAAATAACATTTTCTTCTTTTAATGCCCCTATAATATTTGAAATCCCACTGACTTTTTATCAAAAAGGTCAAGGAAGGCTATCTACCGCAGACAGTGGTAGCCACAACTGACTAAAAGCACTTATTGCACTACTGCAATAATAGCATGCTACTGATGAAGTTAAATAAGTTGCTTAATCTAATGCTAAAGACTGACCCCTGCTTAGTGTTTTTAGATCTGTTTCCAGCCTAAACACAATTTGGAAGCTGTCCACCAGCACCTCAACACCTCTTGAACTTCATGTTAAAAGTGTGAAATTGCTACAACAAAGACCATATCACGAGCAAATAAGTCATTAAAACATTCAACACTGCACAGAGCGGCTCCCCGAAACGTTTGCAACGAGGAAGGTAAAAAAAAACAACCCAACAAATGTTATCAGATACTAGGGCTGGAACAATCAGCCTAAACTTATATGACAATACTTAATTTTAGTCAATAAGAATTTCAATATCTTTTAAGGACAAGTTCCAGTTGGGACGTAGTATGCTCACATAGTGCCTGATAATGGAGACATGCCTAATGTGATTTCCAGTAGCAGATTATCATTTAGCAGACGCTAAAGGGTCGGATACAGATTTTTAAAGTTAGTAAAACTGCTAATCCCTCACAGAAAGTTGGTTCTGCGGCTGTGTGTGTATTAAAGGGGTCTTTGCCCGCCACTAACAGCAGGTTGAGTTGAAAGCATGCAGATGCTATCAGGTAACCTCAAAAACTTTTGTGCAATAAACCATGTCTTTCCAATGTTAATTTGTGCTGAAAATGTAATGTTTTGCCACTCTGTGAACTGTTTTGGTTGAGCAGGCTGATGCAATTTGATCATGCTCAATTAAATTTTCCTTTTTGATAAAGCTTATAGTTAGGGTGGCTCAGGTTATCCTGAGCTATCTCTATAGTTATGCTGCTATAGGCTTAGACTTTTGGAGGACATAGGGACCCCCATTTCATCATTCTGCTCCATTCTCTCTCTGTTCTCCTATTCTGCAGAATCTGTTAGTTCAATCTCTAACCTTCAGAGTAGCTTTGCCTCGTCTGTTCCTGTTTGGCTGTGACGTCATCCTGGAAAGAAACATCAGCTGTGCTGCTTCTATCAACACCCTTGTTTATAGATGTTGGAGATCGGCCTGTTTTCCAGTGTGGTCCTGTTTCTCTGACCGTGACTGAGTGGATGTGCTCTCTTCGTCCTCTGGCATGGGAGCTGCCTTGGAGCTCGTCTGCCTGGCTGTGTGTTTCCTGGATGGGGCCGCCTTTTACAGCTGCTTTTTGTATCTCTGCTTCTGTCTCCTTGAACCCCAGTCGGCCTCGGCAGATGGCCGCTCACACTGAGCCTGGTTCTGCTGGAGGTTTCTTCCTGTTAAAAGGGAGTTTTTCCTCTCCACTGTCGCTACAAGCATGCTTAGTGTGGGGGATTGTATTTGAGTCAATGCAATCAACTGGTTTTCCTTAGATAGAAAACTTTGTATCAATTTGACTGTATGATTTGGTTGAACTGTAAAGTGCCTTGAGATGACATGTGTTGTGAATTTGGCGCTATATAAATAAACTGAATTGAATTGAATTAAATCATAGCAGTTACATAGTCAAATGCAGCATGGTTCAATCTACATATCTTCATGATAGTAAGAAGTATAAAAGCTAAATGCTTTCTTTTTATGGAGAGTAGGACAACAGGCTATTTACGGAGTGGTAATAAAATGTGTTGACACCTTTTACGTCAAACAAATGGCATAACAACAGTATCATAACAACAGAAGAACATAAAAAAAAAAACAGGCCGACAATTAAGTATTACCATGTATTAAAGCGGATACCGAAAATGTGTATAAACTAGTATATTTTTAGATGGAATTTGAAGATTGTAAAATAAAGTAGATAAACAGATAAATTTGGTAATATAATAGCTGAAAAGCCTTGTGGCATTCATATGACATTAGAAATAAATTATTCTTTAAAGACTTCCTCTAACATTAAGTTCTATTAAAGTAACACTTTATTGACTCGAAGGGAAATTAAATGTTAAAACACCTAATAGTTTTTTTTTCTTTTTTCGAATAATTGTAGGTATAAGACGATCTCCTGCAGCAGTCTGCATTACAACATTTCTTGTGAAGCCTTTGACAGAACAGACTGTTAAATCTTCCTTTAAATGGGATGCTCAGCGTTGTCCATAATGTTATTCATTTTATGAAGAATTCTTCCATAAGGTCCCATCCACACAAAAACATACTTAGGCCTACAGTGAAAAGAATTGGCAAAACCTGTGTATAATCTACACAAGGCTGATGTGTCGGGGTCCATAAATGTCCATTTTTGAAACTGGGTCCCAGAGTGAAAATATTTCCAAACTCGGTTTATAGAGGTCCTTGGTTATTGCTTCTATGGGACCTGTAGACAAACACATGCTGCACACTCAGGAAACAACAACAATGCTCTCGTATGCGGTGTACGCTTCTTACCAGGTTAATTAAGATACATAAAATATTATGTTGGTACAGAATATAGTCTTTTTAACTAACATTACTTACCCAGCATTGCAAGTGCACTTTTCTGTCCAAAATCTGGTTGTTTATTCTGTTTACAAGGATCCAAGCCGGCTACATGGTCATTTTCTGGCCTAGCCTCAGCTAGATAGAAGGGGCGACTGATCTGGTTCCATCTTTTAAAGTTAATGTCTTTACAATATATCCTGGCCGCCCAAAGTAAGTAACCTTAGATTATATCTCCAGATTTCTTCATCTCAATCTCAGGTCCTCTACCAGAGACCTAGAAGCTTGAGGGTTCTTCCAATCTCTTAGAGGTCCCTATAACTGCGCACATCTGGACTCAGATCTCTGATTTTTCTCCAGATATCTGTTGAAGCCCCTCCTCCAATGTAGGGGTTACTGCCCCAAGTGCTCCAATGACCATGGGCTCTATAGTTGCTTTCATGTTTCAGTCTCTTTCTAGACTTCCCTGACCCCTTGGTATTTCTCCAATTTCTCAGTCATTCTTCACCACCTTGAGGGATGGCTTCCATTCTTGACCTGGGGGTCTCCAGTTTGTATTTTGTGCTGGTGTTTCTTTCCACCATACTAGCCACTTGGTTAGACATTCCATGTATTCCTTGACACCCTGAAAATCCGAATTGTTTCTGGGGCCTCTCCGCATAGCCTGCAACTGGGATCTTGCCTGGTATAGTAGATCCAGGCCTCTATTGCTCTGGTGCTCAAGGCCTGCTCCTGTACTGTCATGGTCTGTACTGTCCTTCAGCCTGGCCCTATTTAGCCATTGGTTGGATTTTCACTTTAGCTTCACGTATATCTTCCTGATATATACTTGGAGCTTCATGGGTCTGATGCTCACTTGGCCACTGCCTCCTTCTTTGCGCTAGTGGCAAGTTTGTGGATAGTAGATTTGGGGTGGAATCCACCATGCAGGGTGAGTAGCTGTTGTGTTTTAACATCAGTGGCCTGAATTTCCTCTTTAGGCCAACTTACCACCCCAGCAGGGTATCTAATAATCGGCAAGACATAGCTGTTGATTTGCTGGACCTTGTTTTTACCACTGAGTTGACTTGTCAGATCCTGCCTTACTTGTTTCAGGTATTGGCTTTTGCTGTTTTCCTTGTAGCCTCTTGGTGGTTGCCATATGCCTGTGGTATTCTAAGATACTTGTAGCTCTTATGTTCATCTGAGTTCTCCCTTCTAGGAGTGCATTCCCCTCTCCTTACAGCACCTTCCCGCTCCTTATCATCATATGGCCACATTTTTCCTGCCCAAATGACTTTCCGACAGTGCTGTTGTGGATCCTGGTGGCTTTGATCAGCAAGTCATATTCTCTCTCATTCTTAGTATACAGCTTGATGTCATCCATGTACAGGAGGTAGCTGATAGTTGCCCAATTTCTGAGTTGCTATCCATAGATAGTCTTGCGTATTTTCTGACTGAGAGGGTTCAATCCTATCGTGAACAGAAGGGCAGACAGAGTGTCTCCTTG